TGTTTTTCATTGTATTCAGTGACATTCTTGGAATTTTGAGTACAGACTTTAGGATAAACTCATTTTGGTTGTTATACTCATAATGTTTTGGCTATTATACCCTCTGGTTTTCCTTTGTGTGTTTTTCATTGTATTCAGTGACATTCTTGGAATTTTGAGTATACACTTTTGACTGTTGTCCTTTCACACAAATAATAAAAGGTACAGATGAAAGAATAAATGTTAATTTCTAATAGAATAATTGTTATCTTTTGATTCAGTTTCACATTTACTGTGTATTGATGCAATTCGATGCTTTGCTCTTTCATCAACATTCTACTTTATTACCATACAGATTTCTATACAGGTACATCACCAGTTTTCCAGTACGTATGGTCCAGAACCATTCTTGATTATACCTTTTGTGACAAACCAATAGATGTCATGTCACAATAATTCTATAATTTGCCTCTAACCTAGTAATTATGCATCTCTCATATCTCATAACTGCTAGAAACTTATATTAAACTAATATTAACACAGCCATCTTTTGTTACAATGATATCCACTGACATTTATGCTTGATATCATCAAGGCCATTTTGTTTGGAAATCATAACTAGGGTTAAATTCAAGCAAAACTGGCTAGGATTTACACGAAATTGATGGATCTGCACCAACCACACCAGTGTAGATAATTAAATAGTTACACTTCACACATGGTACCACCTGTGGCCACCTAGTGAAATAGTCTGGCAATTGTGTGAAATTCAAATTCTTTCTTGTAATTTGGTCAAGATTAAAAGTAGGGACAAATCATCATTTGCTGGAAAAATCAATTGTTCACCTGTATTAAGTTTTTACCTTTTCCTATAAGTTCTTGATAGAGTTGATACCTGATGATTGGGTCAGCAACTGCAGCACCACATTATTAACTGTGACAAGTCTGGTGATGTATTTCAGGTCATTATGGAATCCATATGATTTTGCATGTATTGTAGCATAATCATATCTAATACTCACAGATAAAACTTACTATTCATATTTCTTTCAAGTCTATACAAAGGAGTGATACCTTTTCTAGATATAAAAACCAATATTATAACACTCCAACCTTTAACAGAGTATTATTGGCACTCTTCACCTATTCTACATTAAAATTTCATTTATTATTCCATATCAATTTAAATCAGTTTTTGGTTCTAATTTTTAAATTGAATGAATGCTCATCTGTTATTTAAGGAAACATGAAGACATGATGCTGCAAAATAAAAAGTCAGGGGTGTTAAATCAAGTTAAATGTGGGACGGCAGGGGGTGCTAAATCAGGCATTAAAAGTGGGAGGAGGAGCTAAATCAGATGGTAAAAATGGGAGAGGGTGGCTAAATCAGATTATAAAAGTGGGGAGGGGGTGGCTAAGTCAGATGTTAAAAGTGGGAGTGGGAGGTCTAAATCAAATGTTAAAAATGAGATGAGGGCATAAATCAGATATTAAAAATGGAAGGGGGCCTAAATCAGATGGTAAAAGTGGGAGTGGGAGTGGGACATAAATCAAACGTTAAAAGTGGGTTGGGGATCAAATGTTAAATATTCCTGATCTTATTTTTTTTTTATCTGTTCTCATAAAAATGAATGTTTTTTGTTTTGTTTTAGATGTGTTATTCTACTGTAAACTTTTTTGTTTTGATTTTAAATACATATTTTGTTTTTACTTTTTTTTCAGGAAATGAGGCTTTTTTCACATACAGTATAAGATTTATATAGAAGTTTTAGAAGCTAAGTTTAATAAAAAACGGAAGATAAGTTTTATTATTTATTTTGAAAATCAGCTACAATAATGATATTAGAAAATGATACATCTTAGTTTAATTATTAAACTAAGATGTATCATTTATCTAATATCAGCAAATAGAAAATTTAAACTGTTATTAATCTTCCAAAAATAAAGTAGAATCATAGCATTGGATTCAAGAAAACTTAGTTAATGATTAGCTAAATGAAATTTAAGAAAAGTTACTTTTTACTTAAAATATAGTCAAAAATACATATTCTTCTTACAATAAATGTCTTTTTTTACCTTTCAACTCAATTCAGAAATCCAGTGAATAAATAATAAATCAACTTTCCCTAGCTATATGTGATGAAAGCAGAAAGCTAGTTTAAGAGCGTCTTCTTGAGGGACAGCTAAAGTATGGATAACCAACGATAACAAATATTACTCATGCTTTTTTAAAAAGTATATTCCTAATATGAAAACAATTATGAATGGCAACACTTTAGCTAGTAAAGTCAATGATTTTATAAATTGATACATAAATTTCGTTTGAAACATTTCTTTTTTTATTGCTATATTGCAGATTTCATGTTCCCATTAAAGACCACTTTTGTTCTGCATACCAGTTGTTGAATTTCATGACAGCAGTTTTGGATTGAATATGTAGTAAGGAGATTTTACTCTGATGTCAAAGTAACCTATTCCTTGAAGAGTCCGAATAAGGTAATTGGATTTTTTTTATTTAAAATTGTTCAATATTTGCAAGGATAGAACATCTTAACAAGTAAATTATGTAGTATTTTTTATTTATCTCGCACAATATCTTTTCACAAAAAAAAAAAAAAAAAAAAAAAAAATCAAATAGAAAAAGTACGGAAAAGAGAACTTTAAAATGTTTTCAAAGATATTTTTGTTATTTGGGGATTCAAGTGGTAAACTTTAATAAATGGATATGGAGTCCTCCTTTTATTCTTGAGATAATTTCTAAAGATTTCTTGAAAGGATCATTTCAAGACTGATCAAATGATTTTAAAAATGTTTTGTCAAACTACTGTCATTTTACTTTGTAAACGTTTTTTTTTTATCTTCAATTAATGAAAAAAAAAATGACTGCATTTACCTTGATTTAAAAAATGTATTTGAAAAACTACCTTTTTTAGTGTTAAAAATGCAATCAAAATATTGCTAAAAAACATTGTATTTTTAGACAATTCAGTTTAAACTTTATCCATTGTTTTGAAAAGTAAATAAATTAATTTTCATTAGTTTTTTTTTTTTTTCGAAATATGGTGATAACGATAGTTTTACTTTTCTAATAAAACTTCATTAAGAAAAAAAGTTTTTTATTATTTATATTTTTTTTAGTCTTTTTCACACAATGACTTGTCAAATGTGTAACAGTATTTTTTTTAAGTTTTTGATATTAAAAAATAAACAAATCACGCCAATAGATGTTTTTGGTATCAGATTTCAAATATGATTTAAATCTTTTTCTATAAACTTTTATACACCATGCGCATTATTTACAGTTGAAAAAAAAGGACAACTACTTGAAAAATACAAGCAAAATTTTAGAACTTTCAAAAATTGATCTTAAGAGAAATTCACATTTAAAAAAAATAATTTTTAAATCTTTGTTGTTAAAAAAACAGAAAACTTACTTTTAAAAAGCTCCATCCCTAAAAAAATCTTTATTTACATGGATGATATATTTCAAATGATTATTTGAAAAAACAAAACAAAAAACATACGTAAATTTAACTTAATTGAATAAAATGAAGATTTTTTCTCTATTTTTCATATTACCTTTTGAGTTTTCTTTTCGTTTTTTAAACCAACTCTACGTCTTGCACCTCCAACCCAGTTCATGATAAACTCAAAATTTATTATTATCATGCGATAAATTAAATTAAATTGTAAAATCATTATTAGTTATCAAATCAATAATAACCTATCAAATGAATAAATTTTATTAAAATCTTTAAAAATTTTTTAAGTTTTAAAATTTGAAAGATTTTAATTTAAGCAGACAATGAATTTCCGGTTTACTTAAATATGGGACATCCGGGATAAATTGAATTTATAACTAAATAAATGAAAATTAAATTATATTGACAATTTTTAAAAAATTAGAACAATTAATTTTTTTTTTTTCATTTTATACTTTAATTATTACAATTATATTAAATTCAAAGTAATTATAATTTGCAAAATTCTAAATTTATTTTTTCTTCATTAGTGTTATTTTTAATAAAAGAATTTGAAACAAATTTTACTTCTGTTCACCTTTTTCAACAAAAAGTTGCTTTATTTTTAGTCAAAAAATTTGTTTATTAAAAACAAAAATATTTACTGAATGAAGCAGACGATTTTAAATTGCAGCCATTCAACTAGCCTCGCTTTGACAAACAGAGTAAAGCTGATCAGGCGAAAAATACTTGTGTAGTAATCCATTAAGAATCGATTTTAAGAAACGCATTAAAGAAAAAATAATAGGGCGTGTAAATGCATTCAAGGGAGAATTTACTTAAATATATATATATATATATATATATATATAATATATATTATGTAATAAAATAAGACTCAAACAAATGTCTGTCGTCATGCACTTGAACACGTGACATTTTGGCAATAATCATCATCATCATTATTTTGTTAATAAGCGCAGTGGTAATATTATCATTCGACATGGCAGTCGACAATGAAAAGGGAGACGAACAAGTGCTGCAGGTGACGAGTTTGCTATCACAACAGCAAGCACAACAACAGCCACCATATTCATACTTTTTTCGTTGTTGTTGTTGTTGTTAAATCTTTCAATACTGCTTGCTGGTGAGTGAGTGTGTAGTAATAATCACCATCATCAAACGAGATGATTGACTGACTAACAAACACTTCTCCAGACTCACAGCCGTCTTCTCGTTTTTTTTTTTTTATTATCCCGTTGCTTCACAACAATAACCCACAACACGAAAAAGTAAAACAGCCTTTGTTTTGTTGAGGCCCGTTTTTGTTTAATTATTGTTATTTGGATATTTTACAATATTGAACAACCCTAGAAAAGAAACCAGGAAAAAGAAAGTGGCAGAAGAAGAATTAGAAAGAAAAAAGTTTTTTGGTTCGTTTTTTGATTATTTATTTTTTAAAACTAAAATAAACAGTAAAAACTGTAAGCACCATCTGGAAAGAAAGATTTTTTTCATTAGTTAAAAATCGTCGCTGATGGGATAAAAAATAATGAAAGAATGGCGAATGTGTCTAAATTTCTATCCCCACAAAGTGTTGGTGGTTTATCGCGCAGACAAGTTGCCCAGAGTGCAGCTCTGGGGGTCTGCTTGTTAACAGCAGCTGCCGTCTATGGGGCGAGAAAGTGTCCCCAAGTACTGGACAGGGTGTTGGGACGAAAAGAAACCGTATCGTCTTCGCCTGCATCTCTGCAAAAACAAGGAAAGGACTATAGTTCCCCCCTTCTCGTCGGTGATGCTTCTCACCCGAAATCCAATGCCACTAAAAAATCGCTACCCTCCTCTTCTTCATCATCATCGTCGTCGTCAAAATCAAATCATAACCACCATCAACAAAATAAATCACCTGGTGTAAACAAAGCCCTTTTAAAGCAACTACGATTTTTATTAAATATTGTCGTTCCCGGTTTTTGGTCGAAAGAGTTTGGTATTTTGTCTCTGCATACTCTGACCCTGATCTGCCGGACTTTTCTTTCTATCTACGTGGCTACCCTGGACGGTAAAATAGTCAAGACCATCGTCCAGAAAGATGCTTTCAAATTCATGTGGCAATTGTCCAAATGGATTATCATCGCAGTTCCGGCCACGTTTGTCAACAGCCTCATCCGTTTTGTGGAAAGTAAACTGGCCTTGGCCTTCCGTACCCGATTAGTAAACTATTCATATAGTAAATACTTCGATAAACAAACATACTACCGTGTCAGTAATTTGGATTGCCGTTTGCCCAATGCTGACCAGTGCCTCACAGACGACATAAATGTGTTTACCCAGTCTTTGGCTCACCTGTATTCTCACCTGACCAAACCTTTACTGGACATTGCCATTATGTCGTTTACTCTGTATAAACTGGCCAGCAGCCGAGGGGCCAGTTCCAGGATTCCGACTATTGTTGCTTCGGTTGTCATCTTCATCACTGCCAAGGTTTTTATAAAAAAAATTTTTTTTCGCTCTTCTTTTTGTTCTTCTTGTGGACATTTTTTTTTTTTTTAATTATAAACATTTTTAGGATTTATTGTACACGCCTTTCATGGAAACAGTTTGTTGCTTTTTGGTAAATTAGCTCAATTTGTCGTTTTTATGTTTTTAATTTTCATAAATTCTTTATGAAATTTAAAGAAATCCTAAAATAGATTTTTTAAAGAGTCATGTTAGTCTAGTTTCAATATAACTGCTCGCATATTTTGATTTTCGAACTCATTTTGTGCTTTTTAGCCATTTAACAAACAAATCTTTACTTTGTCTATAAATTTAAAAATGTAAAAAATAACTTTTTTTTTTTTTAGTCTTTATCGTTTCAGCTTCTAAATATATTTAAAATAAAATAAATGATGTAGAAAATCACACTCAACTCCAGTAACATTTTAAATTTTAATGATTTTTTTTATATAGTAAATTTAAATAACTTTTTTTTTTAAATTTATTGAAAAAATCATATATCAGAATTCTAACATGTTTATTATTTATTTATTTATTTTTTTTTTTTTTTACAACAGCACCAGTTAAAATAATGATAAATAAATAAGAATAAGATTGTTGAAGGAAAGGTTTTCTTTCATTGTTTAAGTTTTTAAACAAAGCTTAATTTAATTTTCTCTCGGATTAAAAGAAAAAGAAAAACAAAAAAAAAAAAAGAAAACATCTTGTTTCCTTGTTGATTGTTTGTAGGCAAGTAAAAAAAAAATAGTTTGCTTACGTAAGTTTAAGTAAATCCTTTAAAAAATTTAGAAAAAAAACAACTTTATTTATTCTTAAATGTGACAATTGTTTCATGTGACAGTATTCAACGAAATCCTGTTTTGTTAGAAAGAAACAGAACCAATTTGTTTTGTTTAAAATACACTTTTTTTTTTGCTTTTTTTTTCTAATCTTGACTTAGGTTCCATATTTTATTCTTTGTCTAATTTTTCTCTAAATATTTGGCAATAATTCAGGATCACAGTGGATAGATTAACTTGATAAATATTCAAATTCAGTTAAAAAAAAAAAAAATGAAATTTATTTTGCTTATTTTTTTACCCAAGTTGTTATTGTCTTGATAATAACTTGTTGATTGTCTTATTTTTTAGTCTATTTTCTTTCATTTTGTCGTTTCATTTTTATTTATTTAAAATTGAAATGAATCGAAAAATTATGTTCCTGAAATATTTTCTTTTAATTTGAATTGTTTTTAAATTTATTTTTGTCCTAGGTTAGGTTCTTCCCTCTTTCGATTATTTTGAAATCAAGTAAAAAAAAAAAAAAATTGTTTGTTGCGGGAAAGTGGAACTAGTTTTACTTTTTTCTTTTTAATGTAGCTCATATTGTGAATATACTTTATTTTGAGCTTTTAACATTATTGAATCTCCGAAAAATATTAAAAACAAACATTTGAATGTATTCAGTTGTAATGATGAAAAATTGGTTTATTATTAGCAGTTAAAATTCAAATAGATAAACTAATTAAAAAAAGATCAATTGATGCTGATTGCTACTGGCTGTTTAGTTCTATACTACAAATTAGTGTAATTGATTAGTTTCTCCTTTTTATTACAAAAATAGCAAAATTTATATTCAAAGGTTAAAAAGAGAAAAATGAAAACATGCATTTTTCTGAAACATTCACTCTTCCCATCTTGTAGTTAAGAAAAAAAAAAAAAAACATTCACACCAGACTTTTAAAACCAGCTTACACGCTTTAGTGCATAAGTCAATAAATAAAAAAAATAGTATTGAAAGCTATCATAATTTCCAATTTTTTTATTGATCAGTCTCTCAGTTGAATACTGGAGTTCCCTACTCGTTTCCCCAATAAATCTGCTCAACATTCTTTTTTACTTGATTTGTTCCTTACCTTCTCTTCTAGCTCTTATCGAGCATCACAACTGTCTTCTTGGCAATTTAGATCACACTGTTGATGTCTTTTTTTAAGTCGTCTATTAAAAAGAAACTTCCTATTCACAAGACTTCATTCTGTTACTAGTGTACAGTACTTATTGGAATTCATTTAGTGACTTTTTTGAGACACCATTTGGATTGATATTGTTTAACCTTTCTACTGAAATGTGCCACAGAGGTTTCTTATGTTTAACCTGGCATCAATTCTTTTGTACTTTTGAGGACCGTGTGGGTTTGCAAGTTGTTGAATTAGAGACATGTGCTGCTTATTCCTGCTAGAAGAAGGTCCAACTACAAGAACAATGCGGACTCAAGTTGAGTCCAACCAAAGATGTAAAGAAAACAAACAAGACCGAGATATATATATATATATATATATATATATATATATATATATATATATCTCAACAAATATATGTACTAAACAACAAATTTACAAGTGACAAAGACATCAACATTTGTGTTTGTGTGTGAATGTAATGAGTTTGTATATTGGTAAATGTTCGTATGTACATGTATGTGTGTTTCATGGCGTTTTCCCACAAGTGGGCGAAAACGCAGATCTCTGTGAGAAATCACATTTTTAAATGTGTTCACTGAAATGCAAAGTGAAAAAGAGAACAAGGCAATAAATTGCCCAGTATTTATAGTGTAGGGAGAGCGTGTCCTAGTGACAATAAGGAAATTAAGGAGGATCTAACTCCGACAGTACTTTTTCGGAAATACCAGATGAAATCAAAATTTTCTTCTTGGTTTACATCAGCCTGTTCAGCCACTATAATCCACAGGAGTCTTTTTTTTCTTGCTGTACCAGCATGATAGTTCTGATGCCTCTTTGTGTCTGCTTGTAATAATTATGGACATGTCCCCAAAGAGGCTAAGTCTTTGCTGATAGAATGAGTCAATGTATAGCCTCTAAGAAATTAGGTTCTCATGACTACTGGAGGCTCTGTAATAGTGTGAAATAAGTCTTCTATCCCTCCACTCTTCAGTCAATTTGAGGTGTTATCATCTTCTGCTGATAAAGCAGAATGTTTTGCTTGTAAATTCTATTTAAATTCTACTCTTGACACATGACTCACCTGGAGTATCTTTGCCTGGCTTTCCATTTAGAATTGAGTCTTTATTGTGTGGTATAAATATAATGCTATTCATGGTTTCTGCTATCATCTGTAAATTAAATCCCTACAAAGCATGTGGACTTGATAGTATCCCTGCAATAATCCTTAAGAAATGTTCTCCTGAACTGGTTACTGTTCTCTCTGAACTCTACAATAAATGCCTTGCTGTTGCTTGCTTTCCTGCTTGTTGGAAATCTTCGTAGTTCCAACCTTTAAGAAATCCAGTGAACTGTCTGATCCTTCTATTGGTCTATTAGCCTTCTATCTCTTTTTGGCAAAATACTAGAGGCTCTAATTAACTCTGAATTTTTGATGCATTTCAACTGGTACAGTTTTCTTTCAAATAAGCAGTATGGCTTTTGCTTCTCTAGGTCAACTGCTTATAACAATTATTTCTGAAAGAATCTATCAAACTTTAAATAAGAATGGTGAAGCTCAGGCTGTTGACAGGGTTTGGCATACTCGTCTTCTTCATAAGTTGAAAGGTTATGGTATTCCTGGATGAATTTTTGAACTGATTTAGTCTTTCTTATCAAATTGTGAAATGAAAGTTGTCCTGAATGGCCATTTTTCTAGATCTTTTTGCATTAGTGCTCTAATCCATTAATGCATCAGGGCTCTATCCTTAGACCTATGTTGTTCCTAATTTTTGTCAATGGCCTTCCTGATGTCATCAGTTCTCAACTCTGTGTCTATGATGATGAAACAACTGTTATTCAAATTGGTAGCTGATCTAAAAAATGACTTACTATCTGTTGTTAACTGGGACAAGCAATGACTTGTTAATTTAAATGCCTCCAAAATGAAACTGCTCTCTTTTAATCTGAGAGAATCCTTTTTTGCCTTCCATCAGCATGGCTATTACTAATCTCCAGGAAAGTGACTCTTTGCACTTTCTTGTGCTAACATTTTCACTGACATGAAGTAGAAAGATTATATTGAATCAATTGCTAGGTCTACTGCTAGGAAAGTTGGTTCACTGTGTCATGCTGGGCAATTTTTCTCATCAGAATCTATCTTACATATTTATAAGTCTGCCATTTGTCCATACTCTGAATATTGTTGTCACATCTGGTTTGTTGCTCTTGCTATATATTTTAGAGATTCTTGATAAAATCCAAAGAAGAATCTGCCTTACTTGGCATCTGGGTTTCAGTCCCTTTCTCACTGCCATAATGTAGCTTCCTTGTGCCTTTTCTATAAATACTTCCATGGTAAAACTTTCCTCTATGGTACCTAGATTTAAGTGCAGTACTATATTAGCAACAACATTTCATCATATTACAGCTGAAATGGTGATATATAACTGTAAGTTTTATGTTAACAGTTTCTTCGCTTGCATTTCTCACTTATGGAACTCTCTTCTAGCTTCTTGATTCCCAGTCAACTTTGATCTTTAAAAATTTAAATGCTGTGTCACTCATTATCTTTTATCTTCTTAATTCCTGTTCTTTTATTGTTCTCTCTCCTTAATAGTGTTTTCTTTTTTTGTATTCTCTCACATTCAGTAATCTCTTGCATCTTAGTGGCTTTACTGCCTTGCTTGAGGTAAAATGATTAAAAAAATCGTTCATGACCATCATCTTCTCAACAGAACAACTTAAGTAATAATGTAACTCTTAAATTATTTTTGGTTGTTGACTAGTTTGCATGTTACTGTAAAATTATCTTTTTATATTAATATTTCTAGTAATGTATATTGATTAAAAATATTAAAGAATGTATATTTTATAATGTGAAACTTGCTAAAAATTACTTATCAACATTGTCACTTTGTTAGAGGCTTTTTAAATATAAACTGGGATTACATAGGGAATTCTTTTAATTCTGTAGAACTTATATAATGCAATCTTAATTAAAATTTTCATCCCAAATAATTTTAAAACCAAAAAACACAAACATAATTATGCAATACATTTTTGTTTT